CTATCCAGCCCAAAATCATTTGAATTATCATCCTATTTTTTTCTTTACATCGGACAGTGGCTTGTACGTGACCATAGGAAGGGAACTAATCGTGTCATCTTTCGTTTTCTAGCTTAAAGACACTGATCTCCCTTTAATTTAATAGATTTTTTTTTAAAAAATGATTCCGCTAATTTCTTCCCAATTATGTTTTCTTTTAATCACTTGACATAAAAATGACGTATTCCATCATGAAAACGCTCCATTTTATTTATAGCAAATCTGCTTTTAAATGTCTCACGATTGTACGTTATTACAGTTCTTAAAAAAATAAAAATATCACAAATTTTTCTTTTTTTCTTTTAATGTTTAATCAGTAAAAAGTAAATTTGGTTGAATTTTCTTCACGTTTACCGTCGTCCCCCCCCCCCCCACATACCCGCACCCCCACCCCAAAAAAATCCACCTGAACAGTGTTACTTAAATGTTTAACAGTATTTTCCGTCTTTCTATGTGATTTTAATAAGTTCATCATGCCATATTTTTTCTTTTAATGTTTAATCAGTAAAAAGTAAATTTGGTTGAATTTTCTTCACGTTTACCGTCGTCCCCCCCCCCCACATACCCGCACCCCCACCCCAAAAAAATCCACCTGAACAGTGTTACTTAAATGTTTAACAGTATTTTCCGTCTTTCTATGTGATTTTAATAAGTTCATCATGCCATTAGCTCACTGAGGACAATAAACTAGCGTGTGTCCTCTGGTCATTTATAATCATGTTATTTTTAAGTCAGGGATCTAATCCTTATTCTCCTGTAAGTCCACTTCTTAAGTTGTGGGAGCTATTACTGATAGCACATTGGTGCTGGACCTCTTACTGATAGCACATTGGTGCTGTGGGACTTCTTACTGATAGCACACTGGTGTTTTGTCATTGCTTCAAAATGGCTTCTTCCACCATTCAACTTGACCATCTGTCTTACCACTTAACTTAACCAACTGTCCAAATCTTATTCAAACCCCTCACTAACCCATCTGTCATTCGCCTCCTCACCCATCTGTGAATCAATTCTTCACATCCATAGTGTACATCTCCGTCCATTCATTTCAGCAACCCATCCGCTCATCCTCTCTAAACACTCAGACTTCCATCCATCCTTCCATCCATCCTTCCATCCATCCTTCCATCCATCCTTCCATCCATCCTTCCATCCATCCTTCCATCCATCCTTCCATCCCATCAAACCTTCTGTCTCTTCGCGCTATCCTGCCAGATTTCCGACTTCGACACCTCCATCCACAAAACCATCCACTTACTTATAAGCCCTTCCGCGCATTTGTTTTTAAATGTCCTCGGGAGGGGAAAGGGGGGGGGCATTTCAGATGTTCGGGTGGGTGGTGCCAGTGGCGAAGGAAGGGGAGGAGGGGGTTTGCCCGCCATGTGTCTCTTTTTTCTTTATATGAAGGGGCGGCACTTTCCGCAAACAGCAGAGTTTGTATCGAGGTGGGGGGGTATGGGGAAAACTCTTCGCTCGTCCAAGGTGGCACTATACTAGTTACCCCCCCCCTCCCCCAGTTCCCTGAAAGAAACACTACTTCGGCTCTACACACGCAACTTCCCAGCTTCGTCCATCTCTAGGTGTCACCTTGCTAACAACTCCACACTCCAACAAGTTATTTAGCCATGTCATTTGTATAGACGGAAACAAAACAGAACACAATAACGTGTTTAAATATTTTAATACACTTTAATACAAATGAACATTGTTTTCTATATACACTTTTCTCTATATACATAACAGTTCATAAATAGTGATCACATGATTTGCAATATAGATATAATAAAATTTATGCTCGTTTTCAGCTATTGCTCTTATTCGTTGACCTCTGACCTTGTGAAATAATGCTCTAAAACAGGTAGCCATATTTGTGGCAAGGAAATGGTTGCAGACTTACTCCTGTCTTTGTTAGGGTTTCCGTAATATACGCGCACATGACAACCACGCACATGACAACCGCGCATGACAACCGCGCTCATGACAACCGAGCACATGACAACCGCGCATGACAACCGCGCTCATGACAACCGAGCACATGACAACCGCGCATGACAACCGCGCTAATGACAACCGCGCATGACAGCCGTGCATGACAACCGCGCTCGTGACAACCGAGCACATGACAACCGCGCATGACAGCCGCGCATGACAACCGCGCTCATGACAACCGAGCACATGACAACCGCGCATGACAACCGCGCACATGACGACCGCGCATGACACCCGAGCGCATGACGACCGCGCATGACAACCGCGCACATGACAACCGCGCACATGACAACCGCACATGACGACCGCGCACACAATAATCGCGCAGACATTAATGCTCACATGAAAACTGCCAACAACGACTGTTGCGCATGCAAAAAAAAATCACTCAAAACCAACAAAGGCGTACACCGCACATGGCGCACAGAGACAAGGCCGAACATTTACGCACACGGATAACTGCGCACATTTTACGACGCAAAGTTTAAGAGTTGAAAGGATTCAATTGGCTAACAACATAAAAGATAAGATGGTAATTATGGAAGGCCATTAAGTAAATATTTTAATGCCGAAAAATAAAACAAAGTAGGCGTAATACATATCCTTACACAAAAATTAAAACTCTAGAATCTAAGAGTCTGGATCTATTTCATTTAGAGTCTGGATCTATTTCATTTAGAGTCTGGATCTATTTCATTTAGAGTCTGGATCTATTTCATTTAGAGTCTGGATCTATTTCATTAAGAGTCTGGATCTATTTCATTTAGAGTCTGGATCTATTTCATTTAGAGTCTGGATCTATTTCATTTAGAGTCTGGATCTATTTCATTTAGAGTCTGGATCTCTTTCATTTAGAGTCTGGATCTATTTCATTTAGAGTCTGGATCTCTTTCATTTAGAGTCTGGATCTATTTCATTTAGAGTCTGGATCTATTTCATTTAGAGTCTGGATCTATTTCATTTAGAGTCTGGATCTATTTCATTTAGAGTCTGGATCTATTTCATTTAGAGTCTGGATCTCTTTCATTTAGAGTCTGGATCTCTTTCATTTAGAGTCTGGATCTATTTCATTTAGAGTCTGGATCTCTTTCATTTAGAGTCTGGAATTTAGAGTCTGGATCTATTTCATTTAGAGTCTGGATCTCTTTCATTTAGAGTCTGGATCTCTTTCATTTAGAGTCTGGATCTATTTCATTTAGAGTCTGGATCTCTTTCATTTAGAGTCTGGATCTATTTCATTTAGAGTCTGGATCTCTTTCATTTAGAGTCTGGATCTCTTTCATTTAGAGTCTGGATCTCTTTCATTTAGAGTCTGGATCTATTTCATTTAGAGTCTGGATCTCTTTCATTTAGAGTCTGGATCTCTTTCATTTAGAGTCTGGATCTATTTCATTTAGAGTCTGGATCTCTTTCATTTAGAGTCTGGATCTATTTCATTTAGAGTCTGGATCTCTTTCATTTAGAGTCTGGATCTCTTTCATTTAGAGTCTGGATCTCTTTCATTTAGAGTCTGGATCTCTTTCATTTAGAGTCTGGATCTCTTTCATTTAGAGTCTGGATCTCTTTCATTTAGAGTTGAATTTCAATTTGTCAAACTAAATTAATTTTATTTCGAAATTGACAGTAATTCATCTTTAAAGGATATTTCTGATGAATAAACCGTTACACGTCATTAGAGTTTAAATACTGACACGGAGAATATATTACTGAAGATGATATTCTGATCGTAATCTGCAAAATGGCGCCTATTGGTAGTGAACTGAAGGTTTGTTTACATTTACCAACAGTGGCGTAGCTAGGGGAGGGGGAGGGGGTCCAAATTCGAAAGTCCCCCCGAGCCCCTACTTGAGGGGGCCCCCAAAGGCGTGTCCGAAATTTTTTTTTACATTAAATAATGTCGAATGTCAAAATGCAGGAGTCCCTAAGGAGGCCAAGCCCCCCCCCCGGGCCCCCCAAATCCCTAGCCACGCCACTGTTGATCAATCCAAAGACTAAGCACTACGTCCTTGTAAAGTCTCATACTCCTACTGCGTACTAGTAAAGGCTCAAAGTCCTACTACGCCCTAGTTAACTCTCAAAATCCTACTCCTAGACCCTAACTGCGTTTGCTTAATTTAAATTATGGTCATTTGCATCATTCAAGTACCAGTATAACAAGTCAAACATTTTTTTTTTAAATATCTGTTGGTTCTGTTTGCTTTTCACAAAATATTTGATGGTAATATAATGGTATGATTTATTTGGTTTACTTCCATTCTTCTTCTATAAATTAAGGGCCCACGATCAATTTATTGATCTACGATTACTATGAAAGAATCTATAGCTACGATTACTATGACAGAATCTATAGCTACGATTACTATGAAAGAATCTATAGCAATGATTACTATGAATTACTGTGACGATAACAGTACAGTGAGACTGAACAAATTATTTTAGCTTTTTAAAAAACTTGCTGAAAATCAAAGTTCATAGTTAATGTACGGTGTACGCAATCGTCTGTGTCCGCATTTGTCTCCAGGCCGAACTTTCAGTGTACGCATGCGTCGTCGGTTTTGCAATTTTCTGTGCGCCAACTATCAGAGTTGGCAGTTTTCGTGTGCGCAGTTATATTTGTGCGGATTTTGCTGTGCACGTACATCGTGTGCTGGTTCGCATAGGACTGGTCACCCTTTGTTAGTTTTGAAGGAAACAAATGAGTCCAAATCTAGTCACAAAACTCTTATCTCCTTCTTCCCCAAGTTTGAGTGTTCATACATACAATTATCACAATCCATGGTGGGATCAGATTCAGATCACAATATGTACATATTTTTAGCCTTCATATAGTTTTAATCGGGTTTGGGTGGGGGGAGGGGGGGGGCTGGCTATATTCTTTTTTGTTAAAAGCGTATGCTTACAAGGAGGAAATCTCACCAAACCCTCGTACAAACTAGTTTACTATTCTGGTTTTATCAAACCCTATTTTTTTTTTTTAAACAACGTGTTATAATGATGCCATCCATCCAATAACACAATCTGATATCATGAATGCATCAATCATATTTTACAACGGCATCCCTCCCTTTCTGCAGTTTGTTATAAATAATTAAAAATAATTTTAATGCTGTACGCTAAGAGGCGTATCTATGTAGGCAGGTGGCGAAAGCTGTCCCCGGGGGATATACTAGTGATGGCGCCAAAATGGCCTTTGGTGTTTTTTCATTTATGAAAATAATGAGTTTCCGAGCTGAGCGGGGTGTAAAAAGAATCTTGTCCCGGGGCGCCAAATACCTTAGCTACGCCTCTGAGTGCGCCTCTGTGTGCTGTGCCAGGCTGACATGTTTGTTTTTTTTTCATAGTTCGCTAAACTACATTTTACATTTGTGAATAGGTCAACATAAGGATCCATGAAACTGTGATAGATTAAACGGTCTGGCAACACTAAACTCTCTTGCATATCGGAAATGTCTGAATGCCCAGATACAATAGTTTACCCACACTAACAAGTGGTGCGCAATTACAAGCTTTTCAAAAGGGGAAGAAAGGGGAGATGATCCATAGCAGTATCCCAATGACTAAAACAAAACCGACGGCCATCATAATCCTCATCTGAATCTTCTGAGCTCGGGTCATTTTCTTGGGCTGGTCTTCCTCTAGTGTCAGCACTGAGCTGTGGTCGCCAATGTCACTTTTGGAGGAGTCCGTCCCGTCGTGGTGCTGCTTGGCATTGAGAATAGCAATCGGTGACGTCATCCCATGTTTGTGGTCGCTGTACCTGTAAGGGTTTTAAACAAATGTTTTAGATGGCTTTGAAAATTGTGTTAGTCTATCAGTGGCTCTGACATGATGCAACACATATTACGTTAGTCTATCAGTGGCTCTGACATGATGCACAACATAGTACGTTAGTCTATCAGTGGCTCTGACATGATGCACAACATAGTACGTTAGTCTATCAGTGGCTCTGACATGATGCACAACATATTACGTTAGTCTATCAGTGGCTCTGACATGATGCACAACATATTACGTTAGTCTATCAGTGGCTCTGACATGATGCACAACATATTACGTTAGTCTATCAGTGGCTCTGACATGATGCACAACATATCACGTTAGTCTATCAGTGGCTCTGACATGATGCACAACATATTACGTTAGTCTATCAGTGGCCCTGACTCTGACATCATACACAATATATTTCGTTACTATGTCAGTGGCTCTGACATGATGCACAACATATCACGTTAGTCTATCAGTTGTTCTGATATTATATTTATTATATTTCGTTAGTCTACCAGAGGTTCTGGTATTATATTTCGTTAATCTATCAGTGGTTCTGATATTATATTATTTATATATATTCTATTTCGCTAGACTATCAGTGGCTCTGACATTATACACAATACATTTCAAAGCAGCGAAAAGTTGATTGTTAAATGCAACGATGATTTTGAAATCACGTGGTCACCAACAGCATTTCGTAAAAAAAAAAAAAGGAGGTGGCGCACGAATGTTTGTATCGGTATCAGGATTATAAAGATAGTCTTCAGAAAATGTGTGTTTTAAGTAGCTTGTGGGAGATCAGTTGGTCGTGTTACCGTCCAGCTCCAATAGTCATTTTGATGTGATGTTATTGTGAGACAATGAGTGATTCCGTGTGGCGAAATTAACACCAACACATCATTATCAGACGTACTGGGTACTGTCTTTTTTCTTTTTAAATTTAACTTGACATTGGCGCCAAGATGAGACAGTTAGTGTACGAAAATCATTGGGGACAAAATAACTTTACAGTGTAATATACTACAGTTTTTTTTTTTTTAGATATCTTGGGTTAGTTAGTGGTGGTCTAATAATATTTGAGCGACAGTGACGGAAACGAAATATAGGTCCATTTTATTTTGTGCTCACTTTTAACGTACAAACTGAAAATAAAAATGGTTATAAGGGAGAGAGATTGTGATCAGGTTAGGGCAAAAGGAAATGATCGAAACAAAGTATGAGAAAACCTGGAAAAAAGGGTTCAACACTAAAACAAAATGTGTCGGCAAGAAACCTTCTTCAACGGAAAGAAACCTTTTTTCAGCGGCTAGAAACCTTCTTCGGCGAAAAAAAACAGTAATAACAATATAAAATTAAAAAAACTTAGCTGAATGTAGCATCGGAGAGGACAGTAAGAGGAATGTAACAAAACATAAGTAGGTAAGAGATTTATTACAGGCAAAAAGGGACGGAAGAGAGGAAGTTCATGGCGATTGGGTGTAATGAGGTGGGGCGGAGGAAATGTTTAAAAAGTGAATGAGAACTAGACATTCATGCCATGGGTATCAAGGTTCCATAAGTCTTAGTCTGAACCGGTTTTTTCTAAGTTCACCCGGTTTGGTGTGTTTATACAAGACGCAATTGCGGTGATAGCAAAATCCCCTGATCTGCTAACCCTATGGTGTTCTTTGGACTTATTTCATCAAGCTCATGAACTTGGTCATTTTTGTTTATACCTTATCTTCGAGAACAGCGTAGAATTAATCATATGTTTAAGGGTTCCACCAGACTCTCAGGGGGTACATGCTGTGTCCATTCTATCCACACAAGCTGGGGGGGTGGGGGATATTTTACCCATTCTATCTGATGGGGGTCAACGATCTAATCTTTCCATCAAGGTTTGATCATTCTATCAAGGGGGTCCATGGTTTGATCATTCTATCAAGGGAGTCCATGGTTTGATCATTCTATCAAGGGGGTCCATGGTTTGACCATTATATCAAGGGGGTCCATGGTTTTGACAGTCTATCAAAGGGAGTCCATGACAAAACCTGTTAAGCATTATCTTATTTCATTGCATAAATATCTCAAATTTCCCAGATGTTCTGAACCTTCGCATATTCAACGAAAACTTAAACCACACTCTGGCACTATCATTTTGTATATTCCCAAATTGCTACTATAAAGTTTGTTATCATAAATTGTTTTTAAGTCTGTTGTTGTTTGTTTGTTTTTTTCTACAAATTTCATAAGATGACAGAAACACTTGGGTTCAGAACCGCTGCGTTTCATAATTACTCACGTGCTAAACGGGCTGTCAAAATTTCCTGGATGAGAACCGTTTTTCAGAATACTGAACTGCGCGTAGGTCCACGTGGACAGCACAGAGTGAGGATGGTGGTCAGTTTTTGAAATGACTGGTCTGGTCGGAAGGTAAGGGTGTCCTAGATACAGGTCAGCGACTTTACAACAAGAGTAATTATTGTTGCATTTCTCTCCGCAAGTAGGGGCCACAGATTGGTCCATATGTTTCCCGTCGGTGGGCGAGGGGGGAGTGACAAGGGGCTCCAGCTCCGGGATGGTCGGCAGATTGGTAAAATACAGGGAAATGCTGCTGTCCCGTCGTGGGCGCGGGGCGACTGGTCGCCCGTCGCCCTGAAGGTGGTTTCCGTGGTTGACGGAACACGGGCATTTGCCGCTGCCGTCCTCAAGGGACAGGGTTAGATCTCCCATGATGACCTCACGTGACTTTAATAGTATTGACTTTAGGGGCAGTCAGATTTGAACTGAGCCCAGAACTTTGTTTTGGTCCAAAAAAAATAAAAAAATTAATTTAAGAACAATGCCAGTTATTAATGACCATGTTTATTATCATGGTCTAAAGTCACGTTTGGCTGCCACGTCTGGCTGCCACGTTTGGCTGCCACGTTTGGTGGTCACGTTTGGTTGTCACGTTTAGATACCACGTTTGGTTGTCAGGTTTGACTGTCACGTTTGGTTGTCACGTTCGGCTGTCACGTTTGGTTGTCACGTTTGGTTTATCAAGTTTGGTTGTCACGTTTGGTTGTTAAGTTTGTCTGCCACATGTGGTTGTCACGGTTGGCTTCCAGGTTTTTCAAAAATTGATGCTCTATCATCCAGATAAAGATTCAATTGATTTATCCCGGTATCCTCAATCGTACTGGTTATTCAGAGAATCATCCGAGTCACAGAAAGTAATGTCACATTTTGTCCCTGTGTTGCACCACACACACCACAGCACTCTGTCCAGTGGGTCACTGTTGTCTTGTTCTCAAACTGACCATCTAGCTTTAATGGTGAATATTCCGACTGTCTACAACGATTCACATTTTAAAAAAAGGGAAGTTTCAGCTTTCCAAACAGGCTACAACCTTTGAGAGAGGACCAAAAAAAGAAGAAATCCTGTATTATTTATTTATTAAAAATTACGAAACATCATAATAATAAAGTAGTGACATAACATGATGAAATGTAAACAAAAAAATGTGTATCTAGCCGTGTGTGTGGCTTGGATATTTTAAATTATATAAAGGGGAAACAAAACATAAATGATTTCAGCTTTAATAAAAATCCATGTTTTGATATATTTACTTGAAGTGAATTAGTAAAAAAAAAACAACAACACACACACAAAAATCCAATCTCTCCAATGAAAGTACCGTCACTAAGTTGGCATTTCTCTATCACAATCACTGACTAACCTTACCAGATTCAGTCTCAAAAAGGGCCGTGCAATACTACAGTAACACGAAGGTGTTGCATGTCATTATTAGTATTATTAGTCAAATCCTAGCTTTCACTTACACTACACTTACACGAGTGAATTTAGCGCCAACGGTGGCTAGTGCCTCACATAAGTGATCTCTCCTCTCATAATCTCTAGTTTAAACTTGATAGCTTGTATATGTGATTTTAATTTCTACTTTTTAACAACAACAACTTACCCACTAGAAGTTATCAGGGCTCAACAAGAGGCCAAGGGTGCGTGTATCACACACTACATTCATATCAGACCTTAGTTGACGGCCATGAAGAATCCTGACATCGTTTACACAGCCTTGTGACGTACAGTTGACAAGCGTCTCGTTCATCAAACCACGGGTGACACCATCAGTTACTGGGTCGGGGGGAAGAGAAATTATGACGTAGTTTACAATTGAAACATTGACGTCAATGGTGTTTCTGGCGTTGGTGATATCACTCATGTTTATCACTGTATTGTATACGTTTCGGTCCCCCACGGACTGACACGGCGCGAACCTTTGACCTTTGGCCTAGTTTCGGGTTATTTCAGGTAATGTGGTGTCTCCTGTCGACTATTTATAGACGGTTGAAGAATGAGATTTGAGATTTAACATTAGGGCACAGCAACCCATGACCTACAACATACAACATATATTCTCCATTTGCTGTGTTAAACACACACACACACATATAATTTTTAGGCTTCAAACTCGAAAAGGGAGAGAGAGAGAAAATGAAGGTAAAACAGCAGTCTAACCCTTGAGGGAGTGGGGAAGGGCCATGTAAATTCATTACAACTTCAGTTTGGTTTTTGTTAAAATTTTATATTAAATTGGGGGTGGGGAGAAAATTATGGGGGCAGAGAGGGTACGGGGTGGCTGGTGAACTGAAAAAGTTTAAATGGAATATTAAACGAGCAAAATTGTATTTTCAAAGAACTGATAGAATTTCTAGCAGGTTATATAACAGAAATGTATTCTTATAATTTCTTTCATTGTTATGACTGACGTTTCCACCACACACACACACTTTTTTGTTCCTCTGAAAATAATCAGAATATTAGAACAATGCTGTCCGTACACGCCACTGTTGTACACACCGCTCACCACTATTTGAATCTGTATCGTATCATTCCAGTGGGTTGAATCACATAGGAAGAAAAGCCAATTGTAAAACTTGTGATAGCGCCATTGTTATTCTTTTGTTCATTCATTGAATGATCAGACCTCGACTGAATCAAGACGATAAAACCATTTTATATATGAGATTCAGGGGTGGTATTAATGCACTGCTTCACTGTGTGAGAATACCGCAATGTTAGAGTCATGTTAAATAAATGTCACTGATTTACTGTGTGAGAATCCCGCCATGGTAGAGTCTGGTTAAATAAATGTCGGTGCTTCACTTAAAGGACATCAATCTTAGTGGAGATGTGATCTTATTCCGGTCTGCGTAATTTGCTTCCTAAGATATCTGACCAGAGGCCATATGACCAGCCATCCGATCCTTGCTTGGACATAATATTGTCGTTATGGTGGGCAGCGAAGAGTTGGGGGCGGGGGGGCTGCTACAAAATGAGTGATTAAAGTAAGAGAGATATTGAGTTAGAAATATTGTGTGTAATGAGTGTGCGTGGATGTGTGTGTAAGATATATATAATATTATATATACACAAATATATATATATATATATATATATATATATATATATATATATATAGAGAGAGAGAGAGAGAGAGAGAGAGAGAGAGAGAGAGCGAGAAGAGAGTAGGGGGGGGGGGTGTGTAGAGAGAGCGATAGAGAGAAATATATATAAAAATATATATATATATATACATATATATATATATATATATATATATAGAGAGAGAGAGAGAGAGAGAGAGAGAGAGAGAGAACGAGAAGAGATTAGGGGGTGGGGGTTTGTAGAAAGAGCGTTATAGAGATAGTAAAAGACAGAGTCGAAATTGGGAAGCGTTAGATGTGAAATGGAGAGAGAAAGAGTGGTATGGAGAGAGAAAGAGAGAGGGAAAGAGAGGGGGAAAGAGAGGGATAGAAAAAGGCCAAAAAAAAAACCGTGATCACGTTTCACCACTACTTCATTCACTTCATTGGCTCCCTGTACAAGCACGGATTGGCTCCCTGTACAAGCACGGATTGACTCATTGGCTCCCTGTACAAGCACGGATTGACTACAAACTCTCTGTTCTCTGTCACAACATTTTCTCGAATTCCTGCACTTCCTATCTACCCGAACTTCTCTCTGTCTATTCACCCCTCCGACAGCTTCGCTCCTCCGCAGACGCGCGTATTCTTTCTGTCCCCAAGATTCGCACAAAAACATACGGTGAACGATCGTTCTATTTCTGTGCCTCCAAACAATGGAATTCTCTTCCATTACACATCCGCAATATACCGACCATCACAGCCTTCAAAACTGCACTCAAAGCACATATTTTTAAACTCCACTGTCCTGACTGATTCCCACCTCTGACCGAAAACCGATGCCGCTGGGTGTCGTCCATGGCTGAACATGGAAATAGTTTTAAATATGCATTTGTTTTGTTTTATTTAATTAATGTAGTTAATTAATTTTTTTAAAGTTTTTGATTGTGTTTGTTAAATTATATGTACAGCGTGGTGAGCCCAGCACTAGGCTATGGTACCACGCTATATAAAACCACTTATAATAATAAGAGGAATAGATAGTGAGATAGAGAGAGAAAGAGAGAGATAAAGAGGGAGAGAGAGAGAGAGGGAGAGAGACGTTGCAACCAGCCCTAGGCTAGGGTACCACACTATATAAAACCACTTATAATAATAAGAAGAATAGATAGTGAGATAGAGAGAGAAAGAGAGAGATAAAGAGGGAGAGAGGGAGAGGGAGAGAGACGTTGCAACCTGCTAGTGACACGGCCGTGTATGACTATTTGACTTTATCACAAGAAAACTACTTCCTCATCCAACGTTTCTTCTTGGATTCTGCATGCGTAGGTCCAATGAACATGTGTGTCACTTTAACAGACTTTGTGCAGGTTAGTATTTTCTTGAGTTGTCTTTGACGAAATAATCATCTACTTATGGGCATACAATTTTAATTTGCATTTCATTAATATCATATAACTAATTGTTGTGCAAATAATCCTAGTGGGGTTATCCATTAATGACGTCACTTATCTTGCGCGCAGGTTGGTGGGGCAGATTTGTGACGATAAGGGGACACGGTTGGGGGGGGGGGGGACTAAAATAGGGTTACGTCATTTACGTATACCCCCTTAGCGCTAACCAGATGCTGACCTTGGGTAGGTGTTCCCCTCAACTTTCCTGCTGTTTCATTTTAAAAACTTACTTAAGAAGTGTGTTTGCTTAACAAAAAAAAATTTAAAGAGTAAATTTCCCTCACCCGAAAAAAAGTGGGGAAGGGGGTGGGGCTTGTTTTTCATGAAACTCATTGTTGCTAACATCACACATAACAAAATGACGACAGTTACCGTTAGAAGAACAGCCAAAACTATACATCCCAACAGCCAAAACTATACATCCCAACAGCCAAAACTATACATCCCATCAGCCAAAACAATACATCCCAACAGCCAAAACAATACATCCCAACAGCCAAAACAATACATCCCAACAGCCAAAACAATACATCCCAACAGCCAAAACAAAATATTCCAACAGCCAAAACAATACATCCCAACAGCCAAAACAAAATATCCCAACAGCCAAAACAATACATCCCAACAGCCAAAACAAAATATCCCAACAGCCAAAACAATACATCCCAACAGCCAAAACAAAATATCCCAACAGCCAAAACAAAATATCCCAACAGCCAAAACAATACATCCCAACAGCCAAAACAATACATCCCAACAGCCAAAACAAAATATCCCAACAGCCAAAACAAAACATCCCAACAGCCAAAACAAAATATCCCAACAGCCAAAACAATACATCCCAACAGCCAAAACAAAATATCCCAACAGCCAAAACAATACATCCCAACAGCTAAAACAATACATCCCAACAGCCAAAACAAAATATCCCAACAGCCAAAACAATACATCCCAACAGCCAAAACAATACATCCCAACAGCCAAAACAAAATATCCCAACATCCAAAACAAAACATCCCAACAGCCAAAACAAAACATCCCAACAGCCAAAACAAAATATTCCAACAGCCAAAACAAAATATTCCAACAGCCAAAACAAAACATCCCAACAGCCAAAACAAAACATCCCAACAGCCAAAACAAAATATTCCAACAGCCAAAACAAAATATCCCAACAGCCAAAACAAAACAGCCCAACAGCCAAAACAAAACATCCAAACAGTCAAAACAAAACATCCCAACAGCCAAACCAAAAACAGCCAAACCAATGCATCACATCTTTGACCTTATTCGTCCTACCTCATTATCTCAGAACGATATCCACAGTTATTAATTGCCTCATCCTCTCAGAACGATATCGAGATACATTCAATTGTTCAACTGCCTCCGGTGCATAATATCAATCACAGGTTTACACTTCAGCCCCTGCAGGACCCCCCTAGACTCATGCTGCACCCAACAAACAAGCTCACTGTATCAGAAGCGTCAAAGTACCCAACATAAAAAGGATTTGTTGATTGAGAGATCATTTGCTTTTGGCGAACCTGCACACGCAAAGTTCTCCTCAATCTCGCTCTCCAATGTTGGGCGGAAATTAATTCATGCCCTGTGTTGTTAACTATGTGTACAATGCGGCTTCTCGTTGTAGACAAGATTCTATCAAACAATTACTTCTAAATGTATCAGCTTCTTGGAAGTCGTGTATCTTAAGAACACATCTCCGCCGGCATTGATCTCCGGACGTAGGCATTGATGAGTTGTGATGACACTTAACGGAGAGCTGGTCCAGTGACTCATACAAGCAGGTCATCAAGCAGCAAGTGGGGGGACAACTGTCAAACTTTAGCCGATGGGAAGTGTGAGGATGGATTGAAAAGTTGAATAGATTTGATTGTGATCAGTGTAAGTAAGCAGGGAGAAAAGTGTACCCAACAAGAGGGGGTGGGGAGGTTGGGATTGAAAAGTTTAAAAGGTTTGATTGTGATCGATGGAAGTAGGCAGGGAGAAAAGTGACCCAGTAAGAGGATGAGATGGGGATTTAAGTGATTGCGAGATTCCGTTGTGATAGGCAAGTAAATGGGGAAACTGTTCCCCTGAGGAACAACATGGCCGACCGGAAGGTGAATGCTCCAGTTGTTTCCTCTGCCAGCGGCGGAACCAGGAAAATAAGAACTGGGTGGCTTGTTTTAAATGTTTAAACGTAATGTTAAAATCAAAGTGTTTTTACTCTATAATTTTAGAAAAATTGTTGTAATTAATATGAAGGTTTTTACAGTGTATATAAGAATATGTACACTCTGATCATAAGAACAAGTACACTCTGATCACAAGCATCTGTACAATACTGAACACTAGAACCTGTACACTCTGATCACAACAACCTGAACACTTT